ATCAAAGAAATCAAATATTTTATTTTAAAATTTCCATAGATAACTGGATACGGTAAATAGATGCATAGAATAGATCAATATTCAAATGAACGATACTGAAAATTAAATCTATTTCTTGGTTTTATACTAGACCTTTAAACGAGCAATACTTGTATATATATATATATATATATATATATATATATATATATCGGAATGACGGAAACGGCTCCAACGATTTTCATAAAATTTAGTGTCCAGGGAGTTTCGTGGGTAATAAATCGATCTAGCTAAGGTTTATTTTTAGAAAATGTCTTTTTGTCCGTGTTTTCAGGCAATGAAAACTGCTATAATATAAGAAGGTAAATTTTGGCACTGTGTTAATGATCGTAATAGCTCAAGTGGATAGCGAGCGATCGCGAAATCGTAATGCCTTGGTTCGCGGCCTGTCTTCGGTCCGACTTTTTTCCTTTTTTTTTTCAAGTTCCCTTCTTTTGTGAGAAAATCTGTTATTTCGAGCCCTTTTTTAGTATTTTTTAAAAATACGAAAATTTTTATTAAACTAATTGCACTCACGATTTTTATTCAAATAACCAGTTCAGTTTTTTCTATTATGTCAATAATATCAAAAATATTTGTATATGTTATGTTTCATCTGAATGTAATTTGTACCTAAATGTAATTTCAAAAAAAACCGTGTAAAGCTCGGTTATCCAGGTACTGTCAACTTAATACACTAACAAGTAGTAGACTTTTAAATGATTATTCTTTAGTAATAGTCTCGTGATAAATTACGTACGTTTTAAAAGTCTGGACTAAATTTTAATCTTGACTAATTAACCGTGGTCAAACCTAAATTTAAACTCTTTATTGTGTAATCGGTGTCATAAGCTATTGTAACATTACCTAGGAATGCATATTGCTGTTCAGTTGTGGGGGTCTGACTGTTAGTGAGATCTTTCATCATGATTATCATCAAAAGTCCACAACTGAATGTAGGCCTTCCCTATAGATTGCCATTGAGGGGAAATTGTCATAGTTGGTACGCTCAACAGGTGAGTTGCCAAGCGCAGTTTTTTTTATTATTCTAAAGAAACTATTGCTGGCCACTCTTTGTTACATTTTCGTCTGCCCCCTCTCACGACAGCGAGGAGGATATAGAGAGTCGGTTACGCCGCCACTACATGGCCAGGAAAATATTGTTTCGTGTGTACCCTGCCTTGATGTTATAATGAGGTAAATTTGTTTGTATGTATGTTGTCTTTTGCTGAAAATTCTTTAACAGATAGTTTTCCGAGTGGCATTAGACTGTGTTTTGTATAATTAAAATTAGTTTTAAAATATTTACGAATTTGAATCAATCCGATTGGGGTGGCCTTATTGGCGAGCGCTGATCAAGCGGCTTGAAGTAAATGAATATATATACTGCAAAATAACTATTCGTGTTTAAACTACTAATCATGATAGGTATGTTCAAATGACGATGCGTAGTTGTATCGTTCAATTACTTTTTTGTATTTACTAGACAATAAACAAAAAACTTGGGCTTCAATCTGACCCGAAATCCCACACCAGTTCCGCTCCGCGTAAATAAATTCCCTCTCTCGGAACGAGTTTGCCGATTCGGATACCGCATGTAATTTCACATTTTCGCACCGGCAGCTTGCCGGAGCACATTAAAGTTTTTACCATGCCTACTCACGGTTAATTTTCCGAATTCAATTTATCAACCCGTTTATTTAAAAGGACGTTTTGCAAATACTTTGTTTAATTGCTACTCGAGGCATCTACCTCACGTTTCTGAAACTGTAAAGTATTTATTATGCATTTACGACAGTTGTCAGGACATAAGAAGTTTATGTGTAATACATTAAGATATTGAAAACGATCAACGCGTATTTACCCTTAGATGCCACATTAACAATGTATCTGCAAGAAATAGAATATCTGAGCCTCGGGTAATTAATTACTTGGCGTCATTAAAGATGACAAGCGATGGATGTGTAGCTGTAGGCTGTGTGGTGTGCGTTATAAGGCGTCGCTAAGGCACCCGAGCCACGTCCGGGACGCACGGCACCGCTACGATACACGCCCGCAGTCACTTAGCACATATTTATCGTGTACGAAACCTCTTTCTACAAACCACATAATCAATCTATACTATACTATGTCAACCTCCCGATCTCATACTGATCGTCAATATTTGCGCAAGATATGTGTATCGCTTAACTTACTTTATATCTCTAATGGATGTCGACGACCCTACACTTAGAAGCTTTCCGTCGAGGTGTCAAACATTAATTACTCTGTTTCAGTTCACCATTCATTCTATTATCTGCTTGTCATCGTAAACGCCCGTTCTTGTAGCAATAAACTTTTTACCGGAAAAAATAAATGTGACGTGGTAAGATTTTCTGCGAAAAGTTTTGAGAGGTGTCAGTCAAATGTTTTCCCAAGGATAACTGGTTCGCAGGCTCAACACAAAATCGGCAGTTTTTAAACAATAAAATTAATTTTCTCCGTTATTGTTTAATTAGCGCCGGATCTGGGATAGCGCGACGGGCGGCCGGTATTTATCATCTGAAACAATCGCAACCCTCCGAATCCCGCACACCGCCGCCATACCCATTATTGTCAAAGTCAAGACTTTACACCGCACCGAAGTAACTTTGATTCGTCAGTTCAACTGACAGTATTTAATTAGGGTTGCCAACCTTTTTATACTAAATATACTTTGTATTTTCGAGATTTTTACCTGTAAATATATTAGATAGCGAAAAACATATAAAACTTTCACATTAATAAAGTATTATGTTTTGTATGTTGTTCGTATTATATTACAGTATAGTATATTACTATAGTAAGTAGTATACTATAGTCTTATCAACCCTAATTGTAACTAGGAATACTGTTACTTAATTGACTTCACGGTAACTAATCCCACAGCTTGACTGATCTTATTTTGTTTTGTTTCAGGTAATATTTACGTGACAACGTGGTTTGGTTATATTACCAGAGCATCTTCTCTAGGTAAGGTGGCAGGAAGTACTGTCACATTGGTTGTTGACAACATGTCTACTGTCGTATGTATATCGAAGTAAAAAATATGAAACAGGATAGTTTGTGAAGCCTTACAGAGTTAATCTGAAGCCATATTTAATTAAATTGAAGCAGTGGGTGAACGTCGCTGCAGGCCATTCCCCAGTCAACTGCGTGCCTGAACGGTGGACTTAAAATGTGATCGTATTTTTTTTTATTGCAATTTGAAATTCACTTCATTTTTTTTTAATTTTGGTAAGTGATCTATTTTTATAGTTGTTAATGTTTATTGCCTAAATGGTGCAACTAAAAACTGTTTAGTTAATTAGTTCCAATTAATATTTTCCCGATGGTGCGATCGTATTTACTACATAACCAGTAGTAAGCATTAGCAATCTTGTTTTCTTGTGATCATTTTACAACTTTTCTTGAAGTTTTCTTATATTACCGTATTTATATGTAAAACTGGACTGCGTCGATTCGCGGCTTGCTGGTGGCCTGCGACGTCATCTAATTCAATTACGAATAGAGCAGTTTTTGACAAACATTAAGGGTATTTTAAAGCCTTCTACTTGAATTATTTTATGTGTCATTATTAAAGTCATTAGTCGCACAGTCAAAGAGCCTGTATAATTTCACAGTTATTAATAAAACAACGAAAAACTAAAGCATTGCAAAAACGACTATAAAAAAACGAAAAAAAGTTAGGCATTGCAAAAAACGCTAAAATTATTCATTTAACGGTATTTTTGGTATTAATTATGCTATAAATAAATAAGCACACGGAATTAAGTAAAAGCATAGTTTCTCAATTCTGCATACCGGGGCCGCCCACTTGCCTACTCGCTTTTGAGAGTGTGCACCCTACCAACCTACCTACCATAACCAAGGAAATAACCATATCCTTTAACAATAATTGCGTTGCTTCGTTTAGCTGTAATATCCCATACGAACGGGGTGCCATGACCTTCTTGCAACCCCTCGAATCATGGATTATTTTCAGTGGCTGACCCGATTCAACCTGACCCACACCTCTGACCTCGGTTTGATCTATTCCTTTCATTCTATTAACCTGTTCGTCGAGATCAAATGCGATAAACAGTGCTCTATATCGTAGTTTCTCCGACTGGTCTGAATAATCGCTTGTAAAACGTTTTTTAACACTGGCACGTAGAGTACTCGCTACATCTGTTAATTAAATCATAATTTTACTGTCGTGCTTGCAAATGCTTTATAATGAATATATAATAGATGCGATTGTGTGAAAATTGTAAATTATTTTGCATTTAATGAATAAGTCAAGTTATAATCACACTGTAAATTTGTTATTGTTGCTTTTTCGAATAATTAAATAGATTAGTTATTAACATCGCCGTGTAATGGTGGCGATAACAGAATTCACTACTACGTATTAACATCCCGTGGGTGTCGTGAGAGGCTACAGAGGTAAACCGAAACAGGAATTGCACAACAGAATCTTCCACTTAATAATAGTACAACTATAGCAAATACAAATATATGCAAGGCTATCTACGGGGGAGGCCTCTGCATTATCTGTGGACTTTTCATCATCATCATCATTACAGCCCTTCACAAGTCCACTGCTGAACATAGGCCTTCTCCAAGGTATGCCACAAAGCACGGTCCTGAGCCACCTGCATCCATCGACTTCCTGCATGTCTTACCAGGTCGTCACTCCATCTAGTGACGACCTGGTAAGACATGCATGTGGACTTGTGATGGGTTGTAATCAATAATCATTAACAAAAACGCAAATAACACATTGATCAAAATTTGGGAAAAATTCTACAACTAAAATACCATCATTCAATATTATCGAAATTTTAAATAGATTTTTAAAAGTTTTTGGTTGAAAATACATAAACATATTATATCACATCAACTAAAACAAACGTCCCAGTATTACGAATGTCGGCCTAGCTCATGGGAAGTATATTTTGCCGACAATCTAAATGGTTCAGTTAGTCGAGCCGTATTTGTAAGCGATGCGGCGCGTTATTAATAGCCGCGATAGCAGGTAGCCCGCGGCACAACACGGTGTTTGGGAAATCCGAATTTGCATAGGATAATAGAGGCAGTATGAGCGGCGATGTGAAGCGGCCACGCCGAGCCGGGCACGCGTGCTGGAAGCAGCCGGGACGCGGCGCTGCCTCAGCGGGATTAACCACTTGACCCACACTGCCGAGTCTCGCTTTGTTAAATCTTGCTACTCGTACACCCGATACATACTCCATGTGCTGTTATGCTAAGCAGCGGTATGGACAAAGGCGGGCACATCAGATATCGCATTAGCAACAAGGCACGCGTTAATTGATCCGTCCATAGTTATGTAAGTAACAGAATTTAGTAGGAACAATTCGTGACACTTTTATGCAAATAAATATCAAATATTATAATATTCAAGACGTACAACCCGTGTCACGTAAAAGTCAGCGAAATATTCTAAAACAACAGAGATTTTCTTGTCCCATAGGATATACGTCGTCTCTTATATAATACGAGCCATTCGTGTTTAGTTCGAGACTTGACAACAAAGTGGGAAATTATTATTTCATGTTGTTTTCAAATAAATTTATAATGATATACATACAATGCTATAGAGTGGATTTTTGATGCCAAATTCAGATTGGTTACTGAGTATTTTTATGAAATTAGGGTGACAACCAAGTCCATAGTCTACCTGATGCTGGATGCTGCGAATCATAAACATCTACATATCCTCGATTAAAAAAATAACAAAGTTCAGATGCGTTGTAAACCCTGAAGACTAAGATGGAATGCTTTGTTTTCAGTAAAAAGGATCTATGGTTCTCTACACTCACAATAACAAACAGCGTATTCTGTGAGAGCGTGGTCCTTCTCCGGGCGAGCCGATCTATTCATGCTGCAACCACCGTGTAGCTGCTGCATGTCTCTACCAAGTATTCATTAAACTATTTGAGTAGGAAATTTAAAAAAATCTGTTTTCTGTTCCTTGTAACTGCTATCATTATGACGCAAAATGTCGCTATATTATTCTTTTAATCTCTAGCAGTGTACGAGTCACATGTTTTATGATCCTCCGACAAAATAAGCATCCTTAAATCCACGCGAACAAAACCGCGGACAATGCGTGCAAATTAACAAAAACATGAATTGTTTCACAACGTACGTATAGTAATATAAAAGCGAGTTCGTAATCTAGTGCATCTTGTAATAAGCATAAATGCAAATGACTCGGACTAGACATAATTTTCATGATAGTGTAGCCGCGTGTTTCCACTGACGCGCAAATACGGAAATACTAGATCAACTAATTCGTTGACTTTTTTCTTTATTTATAAATGCTAACGTTAAAATCTGTAATAACAAATGGAATGTTTATGTAATTTCTACAAATAATTTATTACCCATTTTCCTACTTACAAACAAAATTACGATCTACTTCGCCATGTCGGCTTCATAAATATTATAGGCTATAGGTATCTTGTCTCTAGATTTTCACGTTTGTGCCAGTTCTTAAGCTTGTAATAACCGTCTTGGAAATCGTTAACAGTTTGCACGAGAGGTCAGTTTGATGAAAGGAAAGTGTTTATGTTATTACTTATTTTACTGTTATTGTTTTCAACAGTTATAAACTCTAAAGAAAAAGCAATACGCGTAATCACGCTCATGTTTTGTAATAAAAACTGAATTATTGTTATCATGTATTATTTACTATAATTTACTTTTCGGTAGGCATTATTTACATTTATATTTTCGAAAAATCATATTAAAACATGAGTGCTTCAATTTTTATTAAGCGATAAATTTTCTAAATAATCTTTAACAAGTAAGTTAGGAGGTACCTGCGTATGTATATTATTTGTTAGTAATGGTCTATTAATCCTTACTTTCTTGTTAAATATTACATACATTAAGGCGATTATTTAAAACGTATTGAGTAGTTTGAGGTTTTGCTCCTTGCTAGAGACTAGTTTGCTTTTACATTAACATGAATAGCCCGATACAAAAGAAAAATAATCATAAACAAACCCTCCATTCTATATCAAAGCAGCCAGTCGTTCAATGATGATAATTGCTAAAATAGAGGAGGGGGTATACTGGCGATTGGAGGGTGCGGGGGTGAGTGCGGCTGGGCGTGGGGTGCGGGGTGCGGGGCGCGGGGTGGTCGCGTGCCTGATGTATGCGCCGCCGCCGCGACGCCAGACCCGCCGGCGCCGCTCCGCCGTGCCACAATGCAGATATCGTGCATTCGATACCGCGGCCCTCTTTCTCCAAACTACGTTTTGTACTAAATTCGATAATTTACCCAGTTTTTACTGAGTTGTGCTGATTTGTATGTATATTCCTAGGAATTTATACATTTTGGCGGGTTAGAAACCTAGAATTTTCCACTGTTCACTCATAAAATATTATTGAATACATTTAATTATAAATAAAATAATGGATTTCATATCCAAATTCGAGAAAACCCTTTCTTTTTTGTTAAATTATTAAATTTTAATATATAGTTCACCAACCGAAAAAAGTTTAAGAACGAAAACTTACATGAATACTTAACTCGTAGCACTAATGTAAGCTGCACGTGTGCATCGAAGTCGAACACGTGATAACCATTAAATGGTGCGATCGTGATAATTAAAATGCAATAACCGGAAACAAACCGGTCTGTACGAATCGACCCACTCCATGCATAACATTTTTCAAATTTGCCCTACCAGTGGACCCCGTTTGATTGATGCTTCGCGTAATGATGCGGGAAACTATTTCCTTCGCATTTCCTCCACTCAATAAAACATCGAATATGCTTATTTATATGTCCGCGTCAGTTTATTTGGGTTTTTGTCAATGCGGCCCGCAGTGTCGACTATACTTGAAAGACCGTCATTTGTCAAGATTACCGTTGTTTGGGGATTGCGATACGATAAGCTGTTATTGTTTTGAATATTTTTCTTTATACCCAGACCTTGCCTTTAGTTCGCGTATTGGCTGTTCATCTTTTATAATTCTGGTCCAATATTGAGGGCCTCGAGGGATCGTAAGGTTCTAAATAGTGATGCAACGAATACGAATACGAATATTAGACATTTACCGAATATTCGTATTCGGCAAATACTATTCACGAATATTTAAAAACCACTATTTTTGTACGCAATTCTAATTACTGGCAGACTTGGAAAGGAAAATTGCGCATCGTCGGTGCGTAAAAAATACGACGTGTGCATAAGCCCTTAGCCGCAACGACGAAGGACTCCAAGACTCCGGGAGTTTCCCTATCACTACGAACCCTGGATTGATTGATTCATTTCATTTGACAGTCGAACGAAAGCACAGTTCAAGCAAGTGAGAATTGTTTAATTTAATTGTTTTGTGGAGTTGTTGCGAAGTAAAAGAAAGAAGTTGAAGTTGAAATGTCTTCTCTTAAAAGAGATCAAAGTGGCATGTGGAAACACTTCGATGGATCATATCGATATCAGATAAATATACTCATATAACTCAAAACATACTCATCATCTACATAGCAAAAGTAAAATTTAATTTCAAGATATTTTTTCAGGGGATTCGCAATCTAAAACGAGATGCTTATGGAAAGCTCAGAGATTTATCGCCGATTCCTGATACATTGGCCTTTTGGCGAGAGGATGTCCATTTTCCAAGGCTGAAAAAACTCGCCCGAAAATATTTTTCACTGAAACCATGTACAGTCGCCTCGGAAACGCTTTTTTCAACGGCTGGTAACATCCAGACTGAAAAAAGAAATCGCCTAAAACCAGAAAATCTACAAATTTTATGTTTTTTTTTTAAATAAAAATGTTACCTATTTTTAATTCTAATTATCAGAACAATAGAAAATCATCAAATGAGTTTCTGTTGTTCTAACAATTATTTATTACCATGGCGAGATATTCGTATTCGTATTCGCGTAGGTGTGAAATTTGTATTCGTAAAAGTAGTATTCGTTGCATCACTGGTTCTAAAGACAAAGTTAGCAATACTTGTAAGAAAAAATACATGTACATTCTTTTTAACACGACAAAAAAATGATCTAATTTATGGACACACTTTAAAGAGCGACAATTAACACATACAAAACTTATCTTACTTATATTAGTCGCGGGTTGGCGCCGAGTGGCAATAAAGTTATTTCATCCTCAATAAAAATGCACTCCGGCGTCGCTACAGTCGGAGAAACCTCCCCGCTGCCTATAAAGCTAATATTATGGACGTATAAAGATTTAAATGACGGATCGGTGCGGCTCGGGTTGGACAGTACGCGACGCGCCCGCGGTCCCAAAGCTATTATATTTTTCTTTCCATTTATAAGGCTAATTCGTTTACTTAATTTTAAAACTATTACGTACCCTTTGTTTGGGAAAGTGTCGTTAGGATTAACTTTATTTGAATTGTTAATATTGCGATCGTATCTTAAAGATCTCACCCGAAAGTTGAGGGTATAGCAATCACGATTATATCATCAATATCGTCATCATCATCATCACCCTTCATAAGTCTACACAAGACAACGCCCTGAACCACCTGCATCCATCGAGTGGACTGCAGTAAGGGGCCCCCTACACTCCGCTTACTGGTACGACGCTGCCATTCCATAACGTTTGTTAGCAGTTCTTCTACTGGCTTACTGCCACTTCAGTTTACTGATCCGTCGGGCTGTCAGTAACTTCGCTTCTGCTACGGATATCGCCGTTACAGATATCTCACTTGCGCTAAATGTATCCAGACCACAACGGCTACGGGGAGCAGGGTCAACGTTACCGTCTGCCGAACATGTCGATTACGTCAAATGATCGCTATAGCAGAGATCTAAGTTTAACAGTTGACAGTTGTTTACGGGTTGCGAAGAAAAATATAGATTTTTTTTTAAAATAAGGGTGAGAAAAGAGCACATCGTCCACCCAACGGTATATGGATGCTGTTGCCCACAGACAAATTACAATCTGCCACTTTTTTCGTATAGATTATAAGAAAGAATTTGATTCTTTCAAAATTTGAGCGGTGCCATGTTAACTGTCATACTGACAGTCAAATCGAAGTGCTGAAATGTTTGTACAGTAGAGCTACAATGACTTTCCAAGAACAAAACCAGAGTATGAAACCTATCTAACTGTAAGACAGGATGACATTATATCCCCGAAACTCTTCACTGCTACATCTATCTTCGATTAAGAATAAAAATATAGATGCATTGTTATCTCTGAGTACTGAGGACTACGATGGAATGCCTCGTTTCCAA